GGGGTGGACAATCCTCGAGAATGCCCTCTGACCCAAGTTCCTTCACCTTCTGCTTAAACATGGAGGCAGATACCTCAGTGCGGCTTTGTGGGCAAAGAGGAGGCAATGTAAGCACAGGTGGACCCACTTGGATGCTAACACTAGTGGTCTCAAGTTTTCACCTGTTTAGTTGCTTCTGGCTCTCTGGCTCTGGGATTCCTCCTTAAGGCTATAAAGCCCTCCTTTTTTGATATTAGTCTTCTCTATGCATTTTTGGATGACTGAAATTTCTTATGTTTTCTGGTCCACTCAGGGAACCTCTTCCAGCTTAGGTTAATTTTTTTCTTGTTATTCATTTTTTGGGGATAGAAGATGGATCAGAAAAACTATAATGTATCTTTAGATCTCTACTTTTAGCTGGAAATCAAGTTTCCTTCACTTTTCAGCATTTTGGTCATGTTCCTTTGAATATAGTCTTGTTTATCAGTGTTGTTCTTTTAAATTCGTGCACAGTACTGAATAAAACATTCTGTTAGCTCTGTCATAACAAATATGTCAGCCATCAGCTCCCTTGCTCTGCATTATATTTCTATGAGTTTAGTGTAAGATTAGAGTAACACATTTTGGTAGTCATATCACATTCCTTCTTACAGAAATTAACACCAAATAGGTTTTTAAAAATTTTTTTGGTAGATATACTGATGGTAAGCTAGGCATTCTGTATCTTAGTTGAATTTCTGCAGTTGAATTTTTGACCCATTTCACTCCTTTATTACAATCTTTTTGGATTTGGTTTGTTATCCAATTTATTACCTATCACTGCATGTTTTCATAGAAATTGTGATCTATATGGCCAAAGCTAAAAATAACTTTTTCAAAGGACTATTGTATTTTTTTGTTGAATACACAATTCACATACTAAATAATTCTAGGGACAGATTTTTAAATGTTATTTTCCATACTTTTCTAGAGAAAGTATTCATTCATTAAGTATTTGTTGAGCACCAAGTTGACCTCTAGACCCTAGAGATACAGCAAGTCAAGTAGACTCTCATGGAGCTTGCTGGTGAGAGACAAGGGTGAGACTGTTTATACAAATACACTCACACAGACCCACACTCAAATTTCAAAGAACAGTATCAGTGAAAGATTATTGTTTTACAGAGAAGTAAATAAGATGATTTGATAGTTCCTGGGTGGCTACTGTAGACTTCCTGTTCCTAGTAAGTTATTGTCTTCTTGTTTACATACTAAGAAGTCTTCAAGAACATGTAACTTGGGAACATTTCCTGAACAGTTTCTAGCTACAGCCTTTCACATACCAGTGTGACCTAAAGCAAATAAGTCTTCAAAATAAAATTTCATCAAGGATACCTAGCCAGGCGAGCCCCTAGGTAACCTAAGGGAGTGAGAATTACAATTCTCAAGTGAGTGGATGATGTTATATATATTATAAATTTGGTTGCACCCATTAAGCAAATAAGTCCAATGTTTTCTGTTTACTTTGATTATGATAAAAATATTTCCTGTTTTAACTTGGATGATCTAAATTTAATGTTAGAGAAATTGAGGCAATAGTAGATACATGTAAAATTATATAT